TGGCACAGGAAACAGAATAAGAAAACTGAATGAAAAAAACAAATGCAGCATATGGGGAACCAACAAAATCTTGCTTTCAAGAGCAAAGCAATAAACTTAAGGGCAACTCGGCCACCACATAAAACTACAAGCACAATATTACTCAATAGACAATGAAACAAGGGTCTAGTTAAACTCTCAATCGATTAACAGTTATATCTGGAACCTAATCCCTCATTTACAAGCCTCGTTGTGCAAATCATTGCATCCAACAGAGAACGTAAGCAATCATGTTAAAGATTTTAGACAAAGTGCCTCAAACCAAATGAAAAAAAAAACAAGTGGAGTGTTGGAAATGTCAAGAAAACATGGATATTGACCATGCATCATGCAGTTTGTTGTATTAAATTTTTAGATCAGTTGCACAAGAGTAAAGTGGGCATAAATATCATAGGGAAACAACCTATAGAAGGTAACCTTCTTTCATTTTCAGTTGACAATAACCGAAGCCATACCTAACACATACAGCTCCATAAATGTGCCATAGATAGCATACATTATGCTCACTTTTTTGGCCTGTATATGCAAGCATGTAATCCAAGTTGCATGTCAGTTTTACACAACATGCACGCAAATGAATCATCAAGGAACTTTTGATTACATAAAATAAACACAAAAGTACATCTCTATATCAGAAACCATAAAACATATGAAGGAGACTTTAGAAGTACCAATAGAAACAGCAACTTACGAGCCATTTATCACGAGCATATAACACCGTATTCAACATGTTCTCAAACAACAAAAAGTAACCCATCCACTCTGATATAATTATGTCTACTTTGGCAACAGGAAGCTCAATCTCTTCAATCTTTCCCTTCAAAACTGTAACAACTGTAACATAAAATAATCCTCGCGTAAACAGTGGGATGAAATAGAGAAATCAGTATGACAAGACACAACAGATTTTAGTAAAACCCCACCATCAGACAAGCCATTTGTTTCAACAATTTGTTTAGCCATGTCTGCCATCTGAGAGCACTCAACCTAGGAATGGGAAAATATTAACCACAGTAAGCAAACTTGGGATGGAGACTAAGAATGAAATAAATGTAGGTCAGAGAGATATTAAAAGATATATCGAAAATACATATACATATAAAACACAGAAACACATACTGCATAAACATGTGCAGCCCCTGCCTTCGCACAAAACAAGGACAAAATTCCAGTTCCAGCTCCCACATCTAGAACTACTTTGTTCTGGAATAGAAACTTATTCCGATAAATAACGTTTTGATATGTCTTAGTTCGCACTCCATCCTTCAGCATTTCCTGAAACACAGGGACTGTCATCAGAAAGTAAGCATGACATAAATTCGTGGTCAGTTCAAATAAAATGAACAATTACAGCTGAATCTTCATTTACAGACGTTCACCATCCCATATATCAAAAGGCAATTGTACCAAAGCAAAACTATTCTATAAATAACTGAAAATAACCAAGCAAGACAAAGAGCGGCATTGAATAGTCCAAGTCCAGCACACTTACTTCATGAATTCCTGCATACGAAAAAAATGAAGAAAACAAATCAAAATAAACTTCAAAGAACGTATTATCTGAACATAAAATAATAAGAAGCCCCAATATACACGTGCTACATCTCTAAATTTATTGAACATATAAGATGTAATAGGAATAACTAGAACTTCATTAGCTTAGATATAACCAAACTATTGAGCTGAACAAGCTCTTATTTTTGCGAAGATAGAAACTTTCTTCCCTCACGCGAAGCTTCCTCACAGGCCAAGTTAAAGCCAACACTAAAAAAAATCCTCATTCTTCCATAGTTTTCTAATCAACAAGACAAACATCCAAGCTTTAATGAATCTTAAACAAAATAAAAGGAATAACATACCGAAATGAGAGTACGAGTCGAAGTAGTAATCAGCACTGGTTTTATCATCAATATCTACAAAGGTGACTTCGGGCTCTCCCATGGATACATCTTCAGTAGCTTTATCAACGGCGAGGACTGATTCATCGAGATTGGAGCTGTCGGCAGCGACTGCATCGTCGTCGGCGTCTTGGAAACGAATCTTGGTTCCTTCGAATTGGCTCGAAGAGTTGGTGGAGGTTTGACCCGTGTTGCTTCCTTTGCGGCGACCCATTTTCTTAGTGACGGTGATTTAGGGTGTAGCGGAGGAGAGTGGGAGAAGGTTTAGGGTTTTTGAGAGGGCTTTTCTGCTTTGTATTGGGGAAAAAGGTGGGGTCCACTTATGGGCTATCGCAATTTGCTTTGCGTTTAAAAAATTATTGGTTGGCCGCTTGTCGGTAGATTTTTATAGGGACGAAAGTTGTTAATTTTCCAAAAGAAAAAAGGTTAATTTACCAAAAAATTCAAACTACTATGAATTTTTAAATTAGTCCTAAAATTTTAAATTCTTCCTTTCAAGCTTTCATAAGTATATTGTAATGTTGTATTAATTATGTTATGCCATTTGCTAAATGCACTAGTTTTACCATTAAATGCATCTAAAATCTTACATGTGTTCATCAATTAAGTTTTTATTTTTTTTTTGCATCAAAATTTTAAAATATTAGTATTGCATGGACACCATTCTTCCATTTATTTATCAATTAATTTAAAACCACGTATGTTTATCACAAACAAATTAGATCTAATACGCCAAAAAAGACATCAATAGCAATAAAATTCAAGGATGTTATCAAATCAAATTATGTTAAATTTAAGTTATTCATACAATAAGTACACATGTCTTGCCCGTCTGGCTCAGTTGGTAGAGCACAAGGCTTTTAACCTTGTGAATCGTGGGATCGAGTCCCACTGAGGGCAATTTATAACGGAGGTCTTCAACGGAAGTTGTTCTCAAGCTGGTGTTGGGGGCAGCCTACTATCCTACCTCCCCCTTACCCTTTTACATATGAGAATAGAGTCAGCTAATTTTTTTTATACAATAAGCACACGTATTCTCGTTTTAATATACATATTTTAAATATATTTGAAGACATTTAACACCCAAAGAATAGTGAATGGAAAAACTTGATTAACACGTTACTAGTATTTTTTAGGGTTCAATTCGAATGGGTACTTTTGGTATGAGTTGGAAATGAAAATAAATTATTCTACCTTATTATCAAAATTAGTTTTTTATTTTTTATTTTTAGTCTTTGTTAAAAATTGTAATTTCTTAATATTTCTTTTGATCATGTTAGACACTAATAAATTTATCTTACCATTCTCTATCATTTTTATTGATTTAAATTCTCTTGAAACTCCTTTTAAAACTCATTAAAGTAAACACAAAAAATCTACCATTTTGATGTTTTTGGTGTTTATTCAAAAAATTTAAACAATGAAGAGTATTTTTTCGATAAAATAAACTCATACATCAAAATTAGTCTCACCGAATGATCGTAAAATGAGATCAAAGCATTAGAAACTTAGACATTTGGATGGATTTTCACTAATTTTAAACGGATTTTGTGAAAAATCAATCTAAATATAATAAAAATGACTGAAATACAAATGTTTGATATTAATATTGTCACGAATGATGACTAATGACAAGTGATAATTGATCAACAACGAAAACTATAATAATTTACTATTTTCTCCAATAAATTAATTATCTTTTTTATCACATTAGTAATAATTTAATGATCCAATATCGTAATTGATACGCAAACTAAAATTAAACTCAGGTATAGAGAGAGAAATGTATAAAAATTAAGCAACGTAGAAAGGTATCTTAGCAAAAGTAAGAGTTTAAAAAGTGAGAGAGGTGGTTAGGGATGGGCATTGGTCGGGTTAGGTCGGATTTTTGGTTCATCTGATTGATCTGACTAAAACAAGATTTCATCCAAATCGAACCCGAAATATAACTTAAAAGTCCGACCCGAAATAATAAAAAGAAATGTTGTTTTTATTCAATAAAAATAATGACTTATTTGAAAAAATAATATACAGATAGATATTATTATAATTATTCCTAAATATATAAGGTAAAATTATGTATTTTTAGGTCGGATCGGATCGGATATTTTTACCCTAAAGCCGATCCCAATCCGACACAAACACCACATTTAAAAAACCGACGACTCGAATTCATTTTTTTTTAAAACCTAACCCGGTTAAATCGGATCTGATCGAAACCCGTCAGATTCGAGTTTTATGCCCATTCTAGGTGATCAAGAATAACGTCATATCTAATATTTATAACTCATTATGAGATTTGATTAATTATTGTTCAGAAGCTGATATTCACATTTAATTATTCATAACATTATAACTTGAATTTTTATTTATAAATTTACTGTTTTATTTTGTTAAAATAACCGATAATCAAAGATAATCTTATATATTTAAATAATAATATTGAATGAATCAAATATTAATGGATGGAAAGGTGATGAATCATATTTAGGAGGATTATGGGTTAGGTCGGACTAAATTATACATGGTTCATTTGAATTCGATTTTAGTATAACACTTCTTCTCTTACCATTCAACAAGATTCTTAAAGTAAAAATTTACACTCAATCATACTTGACTTTTAACTCAAATATATATATCTCACCCGACTCTAATATATAATTATTATTTTTATCATGTAAAAAGGGATCTAATTAAAAATATATATAAATAGATGAGTATTATAGTAATTGTCCTTAAATATATAAAGATGAATTATATTATTATTCTTGGATCAAATCGGATATTTTTCACCCCAAATTTAGATCCAATTCGATTTGATCTTATAATTAAAAAAGGATCAGCTCAATCTGACCCGAACCTCTAAACATATTAATATTATAAAAAAAAACTTTACGCCAAAAAATGGGGTCAAATACCCATCTATAATCGTATTCTAACCCATTCTTTAGTTGCTAATTGGTTGTTGATGAAGTTTGGACCTTGCAAGCAGCATATTTGTTTCGATTTTTAAGCCTGCTTTGTTCAGGCTGGTCATTAGCCCACTGATCCCAAAAGCCCGGGTGTTCTTCCCAAGGTAAAGCGGCGTGATAAGCCTAGAGCAGTCCACCCTTCAACCTTCTATCGTCTTTCATCTTCCACTTTTATCTCATCAAAGGTAAGATTCAGTTCCTTTGCTTAGATCTACAATTTGCTTGATCTTAGAACATCTCCCATTGTTTTCTTATATTTTTTATTCCCATATCTATTGATTTTAGAGATCGATCACAACCCACAGTGATTTTGTTTTCAATTTCCTTTGCCTTTTATGTTGATTTTTTTTTTCCGCATTCTTTTCGATTGCACCGTTATTTTGGGCAAAACAATATACTGTTTCTTAAAACAATTATTTATGTTTTCAATATGGTGCAGATTTTTATGGCATCAAAATTGCAACAATTGCAATCTAAGGCGTGCCAAGCGTCTAAGTTTTTGGCCAGGAATGGAACTGCTTACTACAAGCAGTTGCTGGAGGAGAACAAACAATACATTCAGGAGCCACCGACAGTTGAGAAGTGCAACGAATTATCTAAGCAGCTGTTCTTCACTCGACTTGCTAGGTATTTGTTTCTTGGCTCTGGTTATTTGTGTTTTATGGGTTACTGCCGTGAAGACCCACAAGTTCTGTTAAATTAATAGGCGCAATGTGTTGTTTAGCACCTCACTTTTATTAACTTAGTTGCCACTTCCACCATGTGCCAATATATATTCTGATTTCATTAACGAGTTACCGAATATGCCTCTATCAAATTGACCACTAAATGTATGCTAGGATGTTTTTTGTGTATTGCACCTACATTATCATTTAAACAAGATTCCATGTGTGTTGGCCCTTGTGACGATTAATGTTAGCCGGACCTGAGGGAGTTTATATATATATGGGGAGAATCATAACCTGCACCTATGTCCAAATATTAGCCACACATGCTATATGGAAAATGAATTCCGGGTAATGTAGATGACTAAGTTTATGGTTCTATTCTAGTGCCAGCGGTTTTGAGCAAGGAAGAATGAGACTGAGACATTAATGTTTTTGCATGTCAAACGTATGTTGTAGAGCTCCAAGATTTTAGGCCTAAAATTTAAAAAAGGCTTATTCAAATTTGCTCTATTTAACTGATGAATACAGTAATTTGAAACTGTTGTAAAAGATATATGATATAACTAGTCTAAACATCAATCAAGTTGATTCTAGCAGTATTTCTTAGACATAAAGCAAGAATGAATTTTTTTTTTTTTTTTTTTGATAGAGATGGCCATTTACGAGGTTGTTTTATAAGAATTTCAACTGTAAAGTCAAATCATGCAGTAGTAACATGATTTTCATTTAGTTCAAAGCTGTCCACAGCCCCCCTGCTATTGCAAAGTTAATGTTTTCGTTGCTTTACCAGTATCTGCTAAAACTTGTGGTTGTTAATAGAGAATTGGATATATTGGCTTGTTAGATGAAATTGCAAGACTTAGATGGTCTTCTGGTTGTATATTGTGCCTGGGAGAAAGAATGAACCATTTTCTGGGAGAATTCCCGGAAAAATGTTATTGTGTTGTTCCTCTCCCTCTGTGTATGTAGCTTGTAGTTTGAGCTTACTAGCAAATATGTCAACTACCGATTTGATGAGAACCTATAAATGAGACTGCAAGGTGCTTGATTGCTTATGATCCCTGTGAACTCATCATTTGGTGTGTTACGACTTACGAAGAGTCAATCATACAACTGCTACTAGTACTACTGTGTTTATTGGCAGTTTCCTTGTTATATGCTTGTGTCATTAGAAAAATATATTGCGGTTTACTCGATGAACCAGATTCCTGAGTAATATCAGAATAACTCCTTTTGGGGCAATCTTTGCAGTATCCCTGGCCGTACTGAGTCGTTCTGGAAGGAGCTAGATTACGTCAAGAACCTGTGGAAGCACAGGTCAGAACTGAAGGTTGAAGATGCTGGTATTGCTGCGTTGTTTGGAATGGAATGCTTTGCATGGTTTTGCGCTGGTGAAATAATGGGAAGGGGTTTTACTTTCACCGGTTACTACCCCTAATGGGTAATCATTTAGTGGAAGGCATTTCAGGGATTTTCATGTATTTGTATGCTTTTTATCATCGTTTGCACGATTGGATTGCGGCCATTATAGATGCATATTTTTCTTGTTTTCGATGAAGTTTTTGAAGCTGAGAAATCACTGATTAACTCGATAGCCTGAATAATTTTTGTAGTCGATATGGCTTAAGCTTGGCAAGTCAGTTACTGTTGTGTTATCCGGTTATTTTAACAAAATTTTATGCACCCTACCCCACTACAAGTTTAATGATAATGGTGCAAATTAATCTTTTCTTCTCTTCTTTCTTCGATGATTTTAATTGTTTCAAGCCACTAATTCGTGGTATATTGATTGTATAGTAGGCTGTTAGTGGTCTAATCTCAAACTGGCCTAGCAATCCTTTAACGGATGCACTTGAGAAAATGAATTATTTGAGTTGATCGAGTTAACTTGAATTTTTATTTAAATTAAGTCAATGTTATGACCCTGCGAGAGAAGAAGAATAATCGAAGGAATAGAGGAATAGAGATTCAAGAAGAGAAGAAAAGGGATTCAAGAAAACTGTGAATTCATTCAATCATATCATGCCTCAACCTAACCTAGTACATTGTTTATATATTTACATTGTACCAACCTATTTATCAGCTGGCAATACAACTGTCTCTAACAGATAGATTCCCTTGCAGGTGCTGTTGGCATAACTTCTTCACTGCTGGCAGTCCTCCCATCTTCTCCGATTTCTATATCTCTCATGATCATGACAATACCCCCTCCATGAAAAGATCCTTGTCCCCAAGGATCAAAACTTAACAATTGTGCCTTAAGCACAATGTAGTTTACCCCAATGACGTTTTCCAACCTTAAATTTATCCACTGCATTTGATTGTACTTCTTCTCCCAATGTTTGTCAAACTTCATAACAAATTAGACCTTCAACTGTCCCTTATGTCCCAACTTGGAAGGCTCCAATGAGGTAATATGTTGATCTCTAGATTTCTTTTTCAACCAACTATCATAATTCACTGTTTGCACCTTCAAGGACTCATATAACAATTTATATGCTACTAACCCCATGCAATGTAAAACGATGCAGGTACCATAGACCCTTACTGCTAGCCTTAATCCTTTTTGAAGAGCATGTGAGGTTTGATGGTAAGATCGAAACTTCAGGTAAATTCTGTCCTTTGTCTTTATACCTCTGTCTATCCATTTTATTTTAGCAAAAAATTTCGGCCTTGCTTGAGTCTTCTGAAAAAAATTCAGATTCAACAGTTTTTGTTTAAGTAACTGATTCCTGCTGCTTTCTTTGTTGAATTCCCAGGTAGTTATGACATTCCACTTCCCTTGAAATGATCCTTGTCCCCAAGGATCAAACAATTTCTTCCTTACAATGATGTGCATGCAAAACCCACCTTTCTCGAGCAATGCCCTTGCCAGTGTAAGCACCCACTTGGTAACAATTTGATTTGCTGTAAATTTTGGCGATGAAACTCCGACACTTTTGCAGTAATCACTAATAAGAACTTTTCCCCCTGGCTTCAACCATTTGAATAAAGATCTAAATAGTGCAGGTTTGTCTTGAATGTGCATAATGGTGTCACAGTTGTAGATAACATCAAAAGTGTTTTCCGGGTAAGTTATTGTAGTGTAATCAACAACTTCAATTTCAACCGCGCAATTGAGTCCACTCGCTCGTTCAAGAGCAATAGCTATCATATTTATGGACAGATCAATGCCCACAACATGGACATCGAATTCTTGTGCCATATAAGAGTCACATCCACCAATGCCACAGCCAACATCGAGAACTTTTTGGCCAGGCTTAAGATCCAACATTGCTACAAACTCTTTGGTTGTGTCGATGTCTCCTGTGCTCACAAATCCTGGACCAAAGGTATGTTCATAACGAAGTATGCTACTAGATTTGTACTATACAGTATCCAAGAAGCGCTGGAATCCCCCATCATAATATGCATTCACCTTTTCCCAGATCCAACAAATATGATTTTGATCCCTTTGGTGATTAACATAAGCACTGATGCACTTGAAGCCAACTAAAGAAAGCTTAAATGAGTTTCATGAATCATCAGTTGCTTGGCATTCTGTAAAGACCTGTGAGTAAAATGAGGGCTCACGGTAATGAGTTGGGTCGTGCTTTTGCTTGCTATCACCAGATGGATGAAAACAAGTCTCCCTGAAGAAAATATGCCATCCTACTTTCAACCACTTCATTTAAACATCCTGGTCCTCTGCCTCATATTTCTTGTTGTACTTCTTCAAGTTCTTTGCAATCACTTCATCCTTTTCATGAGTCAAAAAGGATGGTGGCCTCTGGCGCCACAAGAACTGGAAGAATTGATCCTTCAGTCTCCGATAAAGTGGCTTGCCATTAAAGGACCATATGTTGAAACCATTTTCCATTTCATGAACCGAAGTCACTAAAGTGGCAACATACCTTCCATTGGAATCCCATTCAACGTTTGTTGCCATAAAATGTTCAGCAGTCGCCATGGTTTCAATCTCATCAACGTTGAAGAATTCCAATTGACCATTGAAACCCTTCAATCCAGCAAAAACTATGAAGCGGCCACCAGATGACCAGAAAAGAGAATTTGCTTGCTTGGCTTTTAGAGTAGTGAGCTTTGCAACACGACCCAAATTGTGAGTGCTTCGCATCAAGTAAAAGCTAATATCAGACCTTGGATTATCTCCATGTATAACAACAAGCCTATGCCCCTTGGGCTCCCACGCAAAGGCAAATATCTTGTCATTTTTATTAAAGAGTTCCAAAACTTCAATTGGTATGTCCCTTTCTTTGATGCGGAAGAGCTCAAATCCAGTATATGTGCTTTTCTTTGTTTTTGTATAGCGATCAACCCCAGCAATTTGATTTCCACCTCCAGGTTCAGGAACAAAAAGTGCAATGATGGGATCAGTTGGTGACCAACTGAAGTCCACAACATTCTCAACCTTAAAGGATTTCTTATCGATAAGACTGAAGGTCTCTGTTTCATAAACATATTTCATATTCTTCCCAAGTTTGGCAAAATACTTGTCCTCCTTTCCAATTATCTTCTCGACCTCTACTAGCGCATCTTTAAAATTAATTTCCATTAGCAATAATCTAAACTTGTAAGGGTTATCTTCTTCTGCTGCACCATTTGCATCAGGATTAGGAAATGTGTGGGCTGCTTTAGCCTATATAGGTCAACCAGGGAATCTTGAGACTGTCTGGAAATCACTTGACATTGATCATCATGAAGTTCAAGAGAATGAGGATTTGACAAAGACGCATATGAAGGCAAATTGATTTATGGATTCCAAAAATGTGATTGTTCAGCATGCCCAGATTGTGAATATTGGTATGGAACTTCATCGAACTTTGCAGGACAAGCAATTTCCGAAGTACCAGGACACACATATGAAACTAATGTCTCAGGTTCTTTAGTCTTTGGTGTTAGCAATTTATCGAACACCTGGGAATCATCATGTTTTTCCTCGCACTTTTTTCCAGTCAGCAATTGTAAAATGTGCTCCATATCTCTCTGCTGCGACGCTATTTTATATTCCAACATACTCACCCGACTATCCTGCTTCTGCCACCATTTAGGAGGTTTTGTGCCATCCGTTGCTTGCTTTATCATCTTGGTGAGATCGTCAAGCTGCCTCTGAATCGAAGAAAAATTAATGGAGTCTGCCATGACTTGATTTTGCTTCAAGCTGCCAGGAAATGGGCTCTGAATACCAATTGTTATGACCCTGCGAGAGAAGAAGAATAATCGAAGGAATAGAGGAATAGAGATTCAAGAAGAGAAGAAAAGGGATTCAAGAAAACTGTGAATTCATTCAATCATATCATGCCTCAGCCTTACCAAGTACATTGCTTATATATTTACATTGTACCAACCTATTTACCAGCTGGCAATATAGCTGTCTCTAACAGATAGATTCCCTTGCAGGTGCTGTTGGCATAACTTCTTCACTGCTGGCAGTCCTCCGTCTTCTCCGATTTCTATATCTCTCATGATCATGACAGTCAAGTTTGATTTTGTGAACTCTAGAAAATTAAAATTAAAATAATATTTTTCATCTCTAATTAATTAATTTGATTGCATTTTGATTAAATTATTTTTTATACTTTCTATTTAAAGTTTATTTATTTTATCAAATTGTTGAATATTATGTAACTTTAAATTTTCCTTTTAACAATACATTATTTTCTTCTAATTTAATTTTTTAATTTTATATTTATTTAATTTAATTATCTGACTAGTTTTTTTATTATTTTGTAACTTTTTTTATACTACTGTTTTATTTAAACTTAAATGATAAGATAATATTTGTTAATTTAATTAATTAAAAAAATTCACGATCGAATATTTATTTCTAATGAAAATAACCTATAACTTTTAAAGGGTAACATGGTAATTTAGCATTCATTCGGCGTCGTTAATTTGACGCACAGCCCCATGCATTCCTTTTCTTGCGTTGTTCCAATTCCCGATTGTGGTGTTCTATTGAGATTCCTTTACAGACTTGACATTCACGACAACGTTCAAAAATAGATCAAAGGATTTGAGAAGAATGAAGGAAAAGAATAGTACTACGCTTCAATTTCCGAGAAAGTCCAATCGATTCGGATCCCTAATTTCTTTCCTTCACCTCTAAGATCCTAATTATCGTTAACAATTACGGATTACCGCTCAAATCAAAATCACATCTAAGTTTCATGGTTCGAAAGATTTTAAAGAAAAATAAAACTTTTAATCCTTTGGATTCGATTCACTTCTCATAACCCTCCTTTTTTGGAGGAAAAAAAATGTTTCGCATGAGCTTCAAGCCAGACAAATTGTAAATTTCCATTTTTCAATTATGTTTCAGTAACTGTTTTGTTAAGGTGGTTTTTTGGATTGAGGAGGATGTGATTGTTTGATTTTTCGCGTTTTCAATTTTTACTTATTTATCCAGCAAGCTAGCTTTAAAGCTAGCGATACCGCGAATAAAAGTAATGAAGAACAAGAGGGAAGCACATTTTAAGCAGTTAAAGAGGGAATTGGCTCAATTACTGGAGTCTGGGCAGGATCAAACTGCCAGAATTCGGGTATTGCGTTTTCTTCTGAGTTTTATAATCATGATTTTGTTTTGTAACCATGGTGTTTTTTATTTTTCCTTGTAACATTTTTTTCAGGCGGAGCATGTGGTTAACGAAGAAAAAACTATGGCAGCATATGATCTTCTTGAGATATATTGTGAACTCATCGTGGCACGAATGCCAATGATCGAGTTTCAGAAGTGTGTAAATTACTTTCCTTACTATTACATATTTCATATTATTGAATTTCGTTAGATTATCTGGAGTTTTCATTCATCTTAAAATCCCCTTTTCCCATTTCAACACATTCATATACATGACGAATACTACTCCAAATACATAAAATAACTTTAGAATTTTGAACATTCTTGTATCTGATACATACCTGTATTTCACTTTCATGTTTGGGTGACTTAAATTAAGGGGATTGCAGCTAGAGTTTTGAGTGCCTGTTTGTTTAATTGGATTTATATTTGTGCTTAAAAGGATGGATAAAATGCATTATGGCTAGTTCATGGAGAGGATGATCTTTTAAGAGTTTTGGTATTTCTGCCATTGTTTTTAATAACTATCGTCTGGGTTCTACCAACCCGAATCATTCAGAAACTGCCCAATCGACTTGAAGGAGGCAATTTCGAGTGTCATTTTCGCATCTGCAAGGTGTGAGGAGATACCAGAACTCAAGGATGTCACCAAACATCTTACAGCAAAATATGGAAAAGATTTCACTTCTGCTGCTCTTGAACTGCGTCCGGATTGTGGTGTTGGTCGTTTGGTGAGTTTGTATGAACATTAATGCATGAATGAACAATTGTTGAAATATAACCCAAGTTTGGAAATAGTACTCTTGACTGACTGATCCTTACGTTGTCTGTTTCCTTTAGTTGGTTGAAAAGTTATCTATCAAAGCACCTGATGGCCAGACCAAACTCAAAATTTTGATTGCAATTGCAGAGGAACACAATATCAAGTGGGACCCTGAATCATTTGGAGCAAAAGAACCAAAGACATATGATGACTTGATGGTAAGAGTAGTATGGTGCAAAATAGATTGTCTTTGTTCGACATATCAATATATATAATCATGCATTGAATCATCCTTGGATAAATATTCGATTATGAAGTGGCTGTATGTTGTTATTTGTTTGTCAGAGATAGAATGATTTGCTTGAAAACTTATTTCTTTCTTTATGAATTTGAATGTGCAGAATGGGCCAAATGCTTTGTTGGAGGCCACCAAAATTTCGGCAGGTCGTCCTAATACCCAGACTTCAGGCAGTCATTATGAGCAGAGACCGACTAGTGTTCAAGTTCCTAGTCCTAATGTTCAATCTCCAAAACAAATTGCTAAAAATGATGTGCCCTCAAGCTTTAATGAGCTCAGCTCAAGATTATCTCCTCATCCTAAAAAAATTGATTACTCAAATATTAGTGTCAATGATTCAATCTCGTCTGAAACTTATCCTCCAAAATCAAAAACTCGAGGTACGCATATTGTTCAGTTCTTACTTATCTTATCCATTGTTTGTTAATTATTATTATATTTGGGTGTTTTGCTTTACAGAAACTGATTATCAAGGGATGGAATTTAGAAATTCATCTTATGGGAATGAGAGTTCTTTCTCCTCACCTAGGCAACATGGGAATATGGAATTTAAGAATGCTACTGCTGCTGCTCGTGCAGCTGCGGCATCTGCAGAGCGAGCAAGTATGGCTGCCCAAGCTGATGCTGAAAATCTTGAAAATATCTCCCAGCAATATTCAATGGACTCAAACATGTCAGCTCATGGCATGAGAGATGAGGAACCAAGAAAGAATACTGTCTCGACCTCTCAATATGAACATCTTGCCAGACGTAAAGTTAATAATTCCTTCCATGGAACGAATTATGAACAAACTGACAGCAATGAACAATACAATCGAACAGGAGAGACTGAAAATTGTCTCAGTAACATGATGAGGAATGATGATAAATCCACTCGTGGTGCCTCTAAATCGACAGCAGCTACCTTCAATGAAAAATCATTAGTTACTAATCAAATTCCAGATGCATATTCTCAAAGAAACTCATCTGTTGGCAGGCAGATGGAGCATTTTGGTGAAGTGAGCATGAAGAGAGACTCAGTCAATGAGATGCATTTTGTGAACGAATTGCACGGTATTAAGAATACTCGGAATGTTGATCATCATGAAATCAAAGACGGGGAACAATCAAGCTATTCTTCTCATTCTCAGTCAAACACTTTTAGAGATGATTGTGATGGTGCTTCTAATTTAAATGGGCAGAAGTCTGAAAATGATAAGAGAAACTCAGATGAAAGGACACAGTTTGTGAATGAATTACATGATATAAAGACTTCTGATTTTGCTGATTATCAGGAAGGGAGGACTGGGAAGCAATCAAGCTCTTCATCTTCTAGTTCAGGTACTTTTGCTGATGATCTTTATGGTGTATCAGATTTAAATCGTCGGAAGTCGGGAAACTTTTCTGTTGAGAATTCTTCTCTTTTCAACGATAAAGAAAGCCCTCAAAGAAGCACTATAGAAACAACGGGCTTTTATGATAATGCCTCGGCGGTTTTTGATGATTATGGATCACATTCTGAGATAAACTTGATTTGGACGAAGAGCATAAGGTACATGAATACGGTATGAACTTTTCATCTCCATTTCAAAGATCACCATCTCATCCATGTCCATGTACACATTCTTGGAGCACTAAGAAGAAGGTTGAATCGCTTGAAGAGTCTATTTCGCAATCGCATATTTTCTCGGAGAAGCGGTCTACTTCTATCTTCTTTGAAAGTTCAACAAGCTCAGCAGCAGGCCCTTCACATGTAGATGAGTTGCCTCCGACTTTCGATAATTACTGCCATAGTTCAGAAAGTGAAGAGGAGGTAAACAAGTTCGGTAGGAACAACAATTATACTATAGATAGTCAGAAAAAGAATTTGGATTCGCACCAAGCTGAAAACAGTATTTTCAATCAACCGTTGTCTGGGGACATGGAAAGTAGGGAATTGAACTTAGGGAATTTGACAGATGACATCCGAAATAAGGGCTATAGGCATCCACCATATGCTTTATCCTCTTCAGAGGCAGAGAATGATACATCTGCTGGATTTAAGCAATCATCCCCTTCCCTAGTGGAGGATTCAGCTAGTTCTGGATCTTACAATCGAGAACCGAAAGAAAGTGATGAAGTCAGTAGAAACTCAGCAAGAGAGCATCAGTCACTCGTGCTGATTCTAGTGACGATGACTTTGAGGAGGAAAGACCAAAACATATTTTTAGTAGCACTCGCGACCAATACAACAGAATGCCAAGCTCTGAAGAAGATAGAAGATCAACCTCAAGTGTCCCCGTGCCATGTTTTGGTTTGGGAAATAGTGATTCTGATGAAGATCTTCCTAAAACAAGTTCAAAGGCTCATTCAAGAACTCGTTTTCCTCATCAGAAAAATGTATCTCCTTCGAATTCACCTAGAGATACCCAGAAAAGGAACTCGTATCACTTGGAAAGTTTTCGACATTCCCAGTTGGCATCAGAAGCAACTCCAAAGTTGGTTTCAGAGACCAAAACGTTTCCATCTGACGAAGCTTTGAAGATGTCGGAAAAGGAACAGCCGTGTACATCCGTCCCGGATATTGTATCACTGGGTAGTGTCAAGAGTTCAGAAGCTCAAACTTCAATTGGGGAGAGGTCAACTCATGTTCACCCAAAGCTTCCTGATTATGATACCTTAACCGCATTCTTAAATTCTCTCAAACAGAAACGCCAATTAATATGTATGTTCGTTTTGCTTTCTGATACAGTGTTCTAATATCCAATGTGAAAGATTATATACGGCCATGGGATATTTCTATATAAATAAATGTAACTGAGGTATGAATATACAGTGTAGATATTTTACTCGACTATCATCAGGAATAGGCATGATACCAGTCACTTTTTCATCGATCCAATCTTAATTTAGAAATCAAAATCTTTGCATATACGACTTCAATGATTAAATAACTTTTTTATATTTTCAAGTTCCATATTTGAACATTCTACATATCAGTGGTATATACATTCAATAGCAAATAATTGAGAATATCTGAACATATATTATTATATATTCATTAATTAAGAAATCAAAATATTTTAATTTAATTTTATTATATTTCGACTCACCTCTCGTTAGTCCTAATACATAATTTGTATAATTTTTATTTAATAAACTAGAGAGAATTGTAAAGGAAATCATATATGAATACTGGTGATGTCAACAAATGAATTATGATGGTTATAAATTATTATAAAAGACAAAGTTAGTGATGATATGACGGTAATATAATAGTTGATTGGTAACGCTCATAATATAGAGATAAAGGAGAATTCCAAAGAAAGAGTACAAATGAAGAAGAAGAAGAATAAATTATTTTTATAAGGCTTGGTATGCTCGACTGTCATGATATCTATTTGTACGTTGGTAGGATAAAACAACTTGATTGATACGATCGATTATCAATTTGATGTTTGATTTTGCAGATCACATGGCTCCCACCTTAAGTAAGGCTTTGAAAATCAGAAATACTCTTCTGAGGCCTCTAATACGGTTATGTTTTCCGAAAGTCATAATGTACGGCAGTGACGGATCTATTGAAGGCAGAGGGTATATTGAATTCCGTTAGTTATCTTTAATGGTGTTTATTTTGAAATTTGTTTGTGTTATTTTAAAATTTGATTTTTTTTTATTAATTATTTATTTTATTGATAGTGTTTATCTGAAAATTTTATTTGTATCAATATTCAAAACTTTATGTTATTAACATATATGTGTCCACCCTCAAAATTATTTCTGGATCTACCATTACTGGTGAGGTGCAAATATATTATAGCAATTATTTATAAACATATAAAATTATTTTAATAATTATTCGAATCAAAATAGGTCAAGGATCCTAAATCTGATTATGTTTCAATTTCGACTCATACTCCCATAAAAGTGGTTAAATTATTAAAATAATACCTATTTAATTTTTTTTCAAAATAACATTAAAAAAATTATTTCTCAAAATGACAATAATTTCTATCACGTAATATGAAAGTGTGCCTACGTGACAGCATGTTTTGAAAGATTTTTCCTTACAAAATCGTCATTGCTTACATGACAAATCACATGCAAAATAGGAATTATGTATATACTCTACATGATCCGTCACATTAACAACTGTGCTTCTTTGAAGAAAAAAAATCTTTTAAAAGGATGCCACGTAAATCCTTATACTTTTAGCTCATAATGTGTTTTGTGGATCTCAAAACGATTAGTTTCAGAGCTCATAACGTCTATAATTGAAGATGATGACCTTGTAAACAATTGTTTCTTATATTTTTTAGCTTCTATTTAGGGGTGTTCATTCGGTTAAAATCGAACCAAATCGAATAGAAATACCTAAACCGAATTAACCGAACCGAATTTTTTATGAAAGTATTAACTGAACCGAATAAATTTCGGTTAATTCGGTTAATTTTCGAATTAACCGAATTTTTTTAGAATTTAATATTTTTTAATTAAAAAACAGTTTTGGCAGAAATCAAGACAGTGTTGCCTCACCCATGCTCCACTACACCATACTCCACCTGCCATCTCATGCCCATACCATACACAAAAAGGCAAAAAAAAATTATAACCGAGGAAATTGCAACGGATTTAAGACTAGTACCATGAGTCTTGGTGCAGATGTTATTGTATTTTCTCAGTGTTGAGGAAAATAGGTAAAGCGGTTAGTCTTTGTTAATATTTCTAGGCCAGTATAATATTTGTTAATTCATTTTTATGGGTTTCGTGTATATTTTTAGGAAGTGGGGGGCAATGTCCCTTGGATATTCTGCAAAAAGCAAAGTAGCAGACACAATTGGACAATGTATTTATGAATATCTATTATCTAGAAAAGAAAGTGGGAGTCAGTAGGGTGAAAAAATATTAAAAAAATATTTAATTCGATTAATTCGGTTAATTAATTGATTTCAAACCGAATTAACCGTTAACCGAATATCTAAAAAATCATTAACCATTAATCGATCGAATTAATTCGGTAACCGACCGAATTAATCGAACTAATTCAGTTCGGTCGGTTAACCGAATTAGTTCGAAAATTTAAACACCCCTACTTCTATTGATGAAGTGGTTGTACTTAATTGTCATCTTCCAGGGCTGTTATGGCTACTGCACCTGATGCGGGGCAGCTAATTGCCATGCTCTTGAAGCTAATAGATGCTAAAAGGACAACGGAGTTTTCACCGGATACTCACTTCTGCTTACTGCTCTTACAGTTCCCGAGGATGGCAAGGTAAACAATCCATCTGTTCGGTCAAGACTAATTCATTAGCCCATAAGTAAACAATCCGTAACATTGACTTGTGTAAACTAACGTGGAAGCATCCCCAGCTTTCCTCTGTACGAAACCGACTTGAAGATCATGTACTCGATGTTGTCTGTGCTCTTCTTTACCGTTCGTTCTTGTGCAGATTATAGCCATAGATATGAATCGAGAAGCATATGAGATAGGGCTACCTGTTATCAGAAAAGCTGGTGTCGAAAACAAAATTGACTTCATAGAATCGGAGGCTTTGCCAGTTCTTGATAATCTTCTTGCAGATGTAAGGATGAATTATTTTAGAAGCCTTGTTCTTAGTTCCATTCATCGTCTCTCCATACATAAATCAATTCGTTGTCCCTGCTTAGCATCTTGTCGAGGCCGGATTGTCATTAATATCTCACTTGGGTATTTCCGGTTGCAGCCTGGGAACGAAACAGCTTTGACTTTTCTTTTAAATTTATATTATAAAATTGAATAAATTAATATTTTATTTTTTTATTTTTTAATTAAAAACATGTAAAAACTAAAAATTATATTAAATTTAATCCGATGGAATTCAAATTCTTAATTCGAATCGGATCGAATTTTTAAGCCTATTTTGTATTGACTAGAAATAACGCGCCGAAAGGCTCAAACCCAAACAATTTTCCATTTTAATAGTATATATCACGTGGAGTGCACGTGATGAGTTCCCTTTCCTGTTCGCGTCTTCACAGGTTTTATTTATAAATAGTAACACTAAATTATCCCCCCAATTTGTACAACATAATTTCCCGCCTCACGGTTCTTCATTTCCCGCTCTGCAAAACCCTAAGCCTCCATCAAATGGGAAAGAAGCAACAAAATCCCAACGCCGATCCGTTACCCGAGCCCAAGAAAAAGCGACGCGTCGGTTTTTCCAGTATCGGTCAGTGTCATCTTCTCCGGTTTCATCAGTATATGTTTTAGCTTGTCCTCCCTAATTACGTTTTCTGTTTCCAGTTCACTTGGTTGTAAATTCCATTTTATTTAATTTTCAAGGAGTTCTTTTTTTATTTCGCTCATTGTTTTTTTTTTTCGATTGGCCTTGAAGCAGATGATGGAGTTGATCCTATTGACTGCATTAAGGTTTACTTGGGTTAGTTTCTTTTTTTTTTTTGTTTACTTTATAACTTATTTTCGTTTTTTTGTCAATTTTATGAATTGTTTTGGGTTTTGCTATATGTTGATGGATGAAAAAAGGTTTAAAAATGAAAGTTGATTTTTTCACTTTGATAACTGGATGCTCTTATTGTCTTAACTGACAGCAAAAACAATACCGTCTTTTATTTTCGTTAGGAACTTTATTTATAGGAGTGCTAACTTTTCTTAATTTATGTGGATTTAGTTTCTAAGAAAGAGGAAGTTGGAACTTCAGATGGTTTATGTATCAATCCCGTTGATTTGAACAGCTTTTTTGAAGAAGATGAGAAGATATACGGTTACCAAGGGTTAAAGGTAACATGCATTCATAAATTGCAGCATATTTGCCTTTAAATATTATTTTGTTTTCTTGATGGTTTAGTGTTCATGTATTATTTTATTTTCCCAGATAACTATTTGGGTTAACAGCATTTCTTTTCATGCGCATGCTGATATCAGCTTCCAATGCACATCTGATGTAAGTAGAAATCTGCAACCCTAACTATTAGTGGTTTTAATCTCCATTTCTATCATGTTGAGTCAGTGAAGTATTTCCTTTGTCTTTTTTTCATGATATTTTAATGGTTTTCACTGTTGTTTATTCAGGGGGGGCAAAGGAATTACAGACCTGAAATCTGCTCTTGAGGTACACATTATCTACCATGTTTAGCTTTAGCTTAATCTCTGACATCAAGAGGCTTCCCTGATTTTATGACCATTTTGTACAGAAAATTTTTTGTGATACTCTTTTGGAGAACAAAGATGACTTCGTGAAAACTTTTTCAACTGAGAATAATTTCGTTAGGTATTATGCCATGAAATCTTATGCACATATAAAGGTTTATTTCCCTTTTACCTTAGCAATCTTGGCTTTCTATTTTCTTTGCTTATGTTTTTGTGAACTCAATATCATATATTACCCTTTTCAGTTCTGTTGTTTCCCATGGAGAGAAGTTGCAAACCAAAGCTTCCAATGGCCATATAACTCATTTTAATGGCAATTCAGACGCAACCTCTTCTGATCTGGAGGTAATTTTTCCATCTTTACATACACTGAAATATTTGCTACTCTCATTAATTCCATCTTGAATTATGTATGAATAAAGTGTTTGTCATGTTGCCTAAATGTCACTGTATTACTATTCTCAGTTCCAGTGCCCGTTCTGAAAATTCTGTGCAATCTTTATTTTGTTTGGATTTTAATTTTTGCATTAGACCTGACAGCACAAGGAATTTTCCTTCTCTTTTGCTATTATCTTTTTGTTAGATTATTCCTTGTTTCCCTTTTTGTTGCTAGTTTCAGTCTTGGTCTGGTCTCATCTTTGTGAGAGTCCTCCTGTTGTGGTTTTCTTTTTTGGCATTACATGAAATTCTCAAGCATCCACAACTAGTAAGTTCTATTTCCTTCCCTTACAGTCATGGGGTTGTATGTTTTATGCTAATTTACATGCGTAGGAGATTAGCTCTGGTGATTCTGCTCCTTAACAGTTCAACAACCATGGAGAGTCCCACTCCCATGAGATAAATTATAGGGAAAATAGTTTAAAAGATGAAGTTACCTTGATTTTAACTGTCTGGTTGGTTACATAACTATAAAATGGTAATGAGCTTCATTTATGCAAAGGTTAGCCATGTTGATTTGCTTTCTTCCTGTGTTAGGTTGTTCGACTGAAGATAGATAATTTGGCTGCTGGGCATCTCTATAGTTGCTTGGTACCTTTGGTTCATCTTCTTGTTGACGGTAGCTGCCACCTTCACTGAATGTTAATGGTATAATGCATCTCATTCTTAATATAATCTAAATAGTTGTATTTTCTTGACCGGGTAGCAATCCTATTGATGTAACTGACCCAAGCTGGGAGTTGTATCTCTTGAGTAAGAAGAAAAATGATCAGCCTGAGAACACTCAGCATTTATTGCTTGGTTTTGCAGCGCTCTATCGTTTTTATCATAATCCTGATGGTTCACGGTTGCAATTCAGCCAGGTTAATCTCTTTCCTTGCCATTATTCATGTTAGTATCTGAGGTGTACTGATTGGAACCCAAAGTATTGCCGCTCTTTAAGAACTGTTGCATGTTGATATATGTTACCAATCACGAATAGCATTCTTTTATGAAATTATTCCTTTTGTTGGCAGATTCTGGTATTGCCTCCTTACCAGCACAAGGGTTATGGCAGCCACCTTGTGGAGGCTCTTAGCAACGTTGCAATATCTGAAAACGTTTATGATTTGACAGTTGAAGAGCCCTAGATTACTTCCAGCATGTGCGGACCAGTTTTGATATAAAACGTCTGATAGCTTTCGAACCAGCCCAGGATGCTGTTAAATCAGCTGTCTCGCATCTGAAGCTGGGAAAATTGTCTAAAAAAACCAATATTCCTCAATTCTTGCCAGTTGCCACCTCCTGATGTAGTTGAGGAAGTCAGGAAAACATTGAAAATCAACAAGAAACAGTTTCTTCAATGTTGGGAGATTATGATATATCTTGGCCTTGATCCCATAGGGAAGCATACGGAAGACTATGTAACAATCATTAGTAATGGGGTGAAGGCTGATATCCTAGGGAAAGATTCCGAGATTGCCGGAAAGCAAGTAATTGAGGTCCCGAGTGTTCATGATGAGGAGACGTCATTTGTCATGTTCAGATCTCAGAACGGTGAGGTTGGCGGTGTTCAAATGGACGAAGATCAGGCAAAAACCAAAGAACAACAACTGCAGCAGTTGATTGATGAGAGAATCAAGGAGGTGAAGTTAATTGCAGAAAAGGTGTCTCAGAAACATGTATAAAGGGACCCACCTCATTGGCATGATGCATTAACATGGTTAATCATATCTCCGATAATTAGTTTAAGTAGTGCTGTAGGATGTGATCAATTTGAGGCTTGTTTTGTAAAATTTGAGCGGAACTTCAGTTTAAGCTTTATTTATCTTAAAATATTCGATGACTATACAGTCAAACTGATGAACTTTCATGTGCAAAATGTCTATAATATGAAATATGTATTTTTGTCAAAATATCACATATAGACTTGAATTGTCATCTATTGTACAAATGGAATTGCTAAAATTCACGTATTTATCAAAATTTAAGATTTTTAAGGATAACAATTTTTTTTTTTACTATCGACTTTTTATTGAACTTATCTTTTTGTATTATTATAATATGTGAGTTATTACTATTAATAAATACTAAACCAATCATGATAATCTATAAGTATTATAATAATACATAAAATAATTATTCAATTTTTACATTAAATATTTTTCTAAAACATATATTACATTAGACATCAAAATTAAGGTACCAAATGTGAGATTATCCTTTTGTTACCTTTCGGATCACGAGGCCGTCTATTTAGACATCAAAGTGAAGGCCGATTATTTGGTCCACCAATATTCATAAAACGGCACCGCTTTACAGAGCTGTATGCTAGCTAGGGTTTTTTGGTTTGTGTATATTTTTAGACCTTCCCTTTAGTCTCTCGTCGGCTCACTTCTGCTTTCCGTCAATCCAATCAGGTATCTAACGCCTTTTCCCTACGTTTGGTTTCCTAGAAAACCCAGTCGGAAACTGTAAAATTAAGAAAGAACTGTATTACTATTTTCTCTGTTTCTGATTTATTATTTGTTCTTCATGCTAATTTCCGTTGATGAAGAGTTTGTTCTTGAAAATGACGAGTGGGTGACTGAATGCAGGTAAGGTCCAACGTAAGAGGGAGTGCAAATGGTTGAGAAAACAAGGGGAAGAAAGGAAGAGGTGGTGACCAGAGAGTACACCATAAACCTTCACAAGCGCCTCCATGGCTGGTAGCTGATCTTTCCCTTATAACAAAGAAAACCATTTTATTTGTTTTGCTTTGCTCGTCTGTTTCCTTTTTAATCTTTTTATTGTGCTCTTTGCTTGGTGGGTTTTTTTATTTGGTTGTAAACATTGTCTTTTGCTTTATAAATTTGTTCGCTTGATTTTTTGACAATTTCATCACTCAAAGTTTGAGCTTTTCATGTTGTTATTGACTATTAGGCTGAGCTATTCTAGTCATGAATTTAGCTGTCCAAGTAGTGATTTTTCATGGGGATCAGTAATGGCTCTTTAGAGATGAGCCTGTAAGTGATTGTGAGATTCATGAACCCCGGAATGTGTTGTTTTTACACCGTTTGATTAGAAGTTGTTATTGATATCATGTCTCAAGGTGCTGCTGCTGTTGTTTAAGTTTAATTTTGTGGCTGGAAGCTGAGGAATGAATGTTAGTTATAGGAGAATCATGCTGGGTTTAATGCAGAACTCATTTATACATAATTTTGTATGATATTCTTGTTATTTGGTCTGCTTTGGCTTTATAGAATAATCTACAACCATGATGAATTGGGTGGAATCATGAGTTATTTCTGGAGCTAAGAGTCACTTTGTCCCAGAATATGTTTAATCGTATGCTAATTGATGATGTTCGACGAAAGGTTTTAATAACTGATTCACAACTTTCTTCATGGTAATCTTGTGTACAGTACATTCAAGAAGAAGGCTCCCAAGGCTATAAAGGAGATCAGGAAGTTTGCAGAAAAAGCAATGGGGACAAAGGATGTGAGAGTTGATGTCAAGCTGAACAAGCACATCTGGAGCAGAGGGATCCGAAGTGTCCCAAGAAGGATTAGGGTCCGCATTGCTCGCAAGAGAAACGATGATGAAGATGCAAAGGAGGAGCTCTACTCCCTGGTAACTGTTGCCGAAATCCCAGCTGAAGGACTGAAGGGTCTGGGCACCAAAGTCATTGATGACGATGAGTAATTTCATTGATCTTTAGTTCACCAAAGTTTACTTCAGAATTTTGGCTACTGTTACAATTATGGCTTATGATACATTATTTTCCTCGTATGTTTTGTCTATCGTTGTCTAGACTATTGAAGCCTGCTCCTGTTTGCGGAATTTCTTGCAGAAAGAGTATCATGTTTTTCATCTTAAGCTACTGTTATGTTATTGTCATGAATTGAACCACTAAACTTAGCAGGTTTAACCATTGACATTGAGGACAATCATATTGATAATATTCACAGTTTTAGATTAAACAAAAAACTTAGCATCACGTAAAAGTTTGGAATTTAGTTGATACTTTTTATCAAATACAAAATCATTGTGATGGATGGCATACGACTCGGAACCATGGCTTAACTAACAACAATTTTATCATTATAAATCAAGGGAATTGACGAAGAATCATGCCAAGGGACTGTCAGTCACATATTTGTCCTATGAATACCTTTTTTATATTATTTATTTTACTTTCCGATATCTTTTTGAGTATTGATTCCATATAATTAGAGAAATTCTGCCAAAAATTGAGCTTGCATGGAACAAATAGGTCTCTTATTGCATTGGAAAATAATAACTAAATAGGACTAAAATCCCATATGTGAGGAACCTGTTAAGGATGAAACAGAGCAAGAGCGAAAATGAAGAAACGGTTTTACGTACTACAATTTCTTTTCCGAGTATGTAATAATAATATCCTTGAGTATTTTAGAACTGAAAATAAAGACCATTTTCTCTGGAAACACAATCAAAGATCAGCTCTCCCGGGGTATCTTGGGAAGGGAATAACATCTCTAATGTTGTCGATGCCAGTCGCAAAGAGTATCATTCGTTCAAAGCCTAACCCGAATCCACAATGTTTAACGGTTCCAAAACGCCGGAGGTCAAGATACCACTCGTATGGCTCAAGGGGCAGTCCCATCTCTGAAATTCTGTGAGGATTAAGAACAAAAATCAGTCAAGTTCACTGTAATGTTTTATGATATACACCAAAGAAATGCTACAGCTTACCTTTCCCGAATGACATCGTAACGCTCTTCCCTTTGGCTACCCCCGATCAGTTCTCCAACCTGAAATGTTTGGAAAATATCCACTCAACAATGTAGCAAAACAAAGTGGAAGTTTGCAAATACACGTGGTGACATAAAAGAGAATGCTGACCTTTGGCACAAGGACATCCATAGCAGCAACAGTCTTCAAGTCATCATTGAGCCTCATGTAGAATGCTTTTATTCCCTTTGGGTAGTTATAAACAATAACAGGTTTTTGAAATTTAACTTCTGTCAAGAATCTGAATGTCAACGCAAAATAAGATACTAGTGTCCATGTTCAAAGTAAGTAGAAGAAATAATTAGAAAGAAAGACTTGCATACCTTTCATGCTCAGAAGCTAAATCAATCCCCCACTTCACTTCATTCTCAAATTTCTTACCACCTTTCACAGCTTCCTCTAAAAGCTCCACCGCTTCTGTGTATGTTATTTGCACAAAGGGAGTCGAAGCAACCATTTTCAACCGATCGATACAACCTTTATCATAACTTTTAGCCATGAATTCCATATCATCTAGGCATTTATCAAGCAACCAATTACACATGTACTTCACATAAGCCTCGGCACATTTCATGTCATCCTGCAAAAGCATCCAACTTTGATTTAATTTCCACATTAATATTTTTGGTGGACTCGCATGAATGTAGCCAGACATACCTGAAGATCTGCAAATGCTATTTCAGGCTCTACCATCCAAAATTCTGCCAAATGCCTTGAAGTATGAGAGTGTTCAGCCCGGAAAGTTGGCCCAAATGTATACACATTACTAACAGCACAAGCATATGTTTCAACTTGCAGTTGACCGGACACGGTCAGAAAAGCTTGACGAGCAAAGAAATCTTGAGTGTAGTCGATCTTGCCATCTCTTTTCGGAATCCCGGGTTTCAATTTAGATCTCTCCTCCAACTTAGAGAGATTTTCCTTTGCTTTGTTAAGTTCGGCCACAGATATGGTGATATCCGATTTGCTAGCTTTAGCAGCTTTAAGTTGTTTAACAGCCTCTCCTCTCGCACTCACAAGTTGCCTAGCTGCTTGTATATCCGCCTCGGACGGAGGAGGGTTTTTAATCAGTTCCTTCTCCACCTTTTCAGATTCACTAATCAAAGTTGTCACTTGAAACATCTCGCCGGCACCTTCACAATCACTAGTAGTTATAATTGGAGTGTGCACATAAAGGAAATTGTGCTCTTGGAAGAATGAATGAGTAGCAAATGCAAGTGCGTTCCGAATTCGAGCAAGGGCAGCAATCTGAATCCATATATAAAGCAGAAGCTAAATAGCATGCATATTGCACAAAATATCTTGGATATAAAAAATCATGGAAACCGCAACATTAAACGTTCCTAAAGTTACCAAATTGAATTCAGCAGAGTTAACTCGTCAGGAAGATGACAAATTCACCTTCAGTACATTCAGTAGTATTAATTAAGGAAATATATCGTTTATCAACGTTATATAAAGGGAAAGCCGGGCATTTAATTTGGATAAAGATTCATACCGTGTTGGTCCTTGAACGAAGATGAAGATGATCCCTCAAGAACTCAAGCGTGAGCTTCGTTTTCGGAATAGGGTACTTAGCAGGATCCACCTCGCCTACAGAAACCACTTTTTCGACCCGAAACTCAATCTTCTGCCTCGTGCCTTCAGGTGGGACCTTCAATATTCCATCCACCACCACGCACGTGCCGGTCGCCACCAGCTTGCTCAGAACAGCAACTCCGGCGTCGATAATGACCTGCAAGTTCCCCGGGCACGATCCGTCATTCAGTTCCAAGAACGCGAAAGTCCCTTTTCCTTGCTCCCTCCCTGTCTTTACCCAACCACCAACCCGGACTCTTTGCCCATCAAGGCCAGCTCCGCCGTCTGGTCGGCCGACGATTGAACGGATCAGGACACGGTCGGAGAACGCATGTTTCTCAACGGCGTTCGTCAATTTCATCGCGGCGAGTTGGTCCGACGGAGGCGGCGCCTGTTCTGTTTCCGCCGTTGGATTTTCTAAGCGTAACAGAGATGAACGGTAAAAAGGAAGGCTTGTATTTAGAAACTTAAGAATATAAACCCTAAAAAATAAATTTTATATGTAGTGAGGCGTTGATCTGTTGGGGCCAAGAGTACATTAATTTCAATGTGCTCCAACGCGGGCTGGGTTACAAAATCTTTTTCGTACACGTGTAGTCTTTTTATTGGTAGGCCATGACTCCCGGAGAATCTTTGACTTCCTTTGAGCCTGAAACAGAGGGAAATACCAAGGATTCTGAGCCACGTTATTTTAAGGTGGAATCTTGTTTCATGGTGGCGCACTGGCGCTGCTAGAATCTTTCACTGTCCCAAAGCTTGTTTTAGCCATTTGTTTTAATTAATAATTTAATTTAATTTTGTGCAATATCAAAATTCATTTCATCATATAGTAATTTTTTTTTATTTAATTTTAATTTCTTTAATTTTTTATATAAATTTTGTTTCATCATATAAATTTTGAGCACTCCAAGCTACCTTCAAAATGCAAGAAATCAACGACCTACTCTTAAGGGGTGTTTGGTTCAAGGATTGTGGGATTCCTATGGGATGTGAATCTCACATTCACATGTTTGGTACTAATAGTAGATTTTTTGGGGTATATTACCGAGAATGTCATTATCTCCCTTTCCTTAGGTATTGTAACATTACCAGCGTTTTGGACTAAAATGCCCTTAAATTTTTAATTTTTTCAAAAATATCATTCTTCTGTCATTGAATAATAAAAATTCTACGAAGGTTAAATTACAAATTTATCCTTAAATTATTTTAAATTTAAAAAAAAAATCTATAATTAAAATTTTATATGAAGTTCAGGGGTTAAAAAAATTTTACTCTTTCATTAAACCTTTTTTATATTTTTAATTTTGTAAAAAAAATTATATAAATATTATGAATTTAATTTTTTAAAGAAAATATATAAATATTTTACAATTTGTAATATTATACAAATATATAATAAGGACAATTTGATCAAATATACATTCCAATAATCTTTTATTCCTTTAACCAAACACGGTAATCTTACATTCCTGCTAAACCAACCAAACACAAAATACAACATTCTCAGTAATCCTATTACTGGTAATCTTTTATTCCCACTGATAATCCTACATTCCGTGAACCAAACACACCCTTAAGGAAAGTAACAGCCCAAAGCAGCTCCTGATCCCAAGTCATAACTGGACGAGAAATATTACTCAATCTCAAACCCCCCCACCTATGCCGAGAATGAACAAGAAAAGAAGATATGCTCCCTAGTATCACATAGGCCACAAAAGACACAAGAACTGTCAACAACAATGCCCCATTGCAGCAACCTATCTTTTGTACCAAGTCTCCCCAAAACTGCAAGCCAAGCAATTATAGAGTGCCTAGAAATCCGGAGAGGAAACCATATCAGCCTATGCCAAGGGACAACGCCACCTTAACTCAGACCAAAGCCAAGAGGAAGTAACCACACTCTAATTCATCACATAACCAAGAAGGGGAAAAGCTTGCTCCCTAAACTTAAGTATCCTCTTTATGGACCATCTAAAATGACTTTTAATCTCAACTTGCAACAAATGTACACTTACTTTGAAACTTAATGTTTTATAAAATAATAAATTTTTATTGAAAATATAAAAATTTAAATTCACTTTATTTAAAATTTTATATCAATTACAATCGAAACTATATATAAAATGCATTTAATTATAATTGATCTATTAGATTTATTTTTAGTGATTAAGGTGTCCTCATACTTCTTAATTAATCTAGATTTAAGTTAATATTTTATTTTTTTTTACTTTTTATAATATTAACTATAATATATATAAATAAATAAGTTTCATGTTTAATAATTAGATATGAAAATTGACTCAGTGATTAAGGTATATCTAACCCTTCAAAATCTTAATTTGAATCCTCACTTAACCATTTTGCTTAATTTTTTTTTGTCATTAACAACAATAATATATATATGGTTAGGATCCACTTAAAGTTTTACATTGTGTAAGTAGATCCTAACCCATATATATAAAACATATTATATCTCAATACCAAATTTGTAATTTGATCCAATGGTAGAGGCATGCCCTAAGCCTCTCACAAGATCCTAGTTCAATCTTCATTTGCTTTGTTTTAATCAAATTTATTTTATCATCAATTAGATGGTGACATATGCGACCTTAAACAAATTAAAATAAAGAAAAAATATATATTTATCTAATGGTTTATCTATTTTGAAAATTAAAATTATTAAAACTAACTAAAAATATGACCAAATTATTTAAATGTATAAATAATGAGAAAATTTCTATATTGATATGGTTTAATAAACAACATTTAAATAATTAAGTGATTTTATTGATAAAATTAAAAGACCAGTTGTCAAAATAGAATCTACTCATAGTTAAATGGTAATGGTTGTAGTTTACTCTAGAAAAGGTTGACACCTGGCAGGTAACACGATCCAAATGTGCATATGGGGCGGACCTCCTTTAAAGCCAATCAACAACGCCCACGCGGAATGCCAATGACGTCAACGTCGCGAAGAAACAGAAGGAAAACTAGCTAAGGAAAAACAGCTTTTATTCGAACACAACACGGTTAAGGGAAAAAAAATCCCCAAATAAAATCCAATTTCATCTCTTCCATCCCTTTCTGCACGGAATCTAGAGATCTCTCGCCCTCTATCGACTTCCCAAATCCCTAATTTCTTAATTTTACAGGTTAGAGCTTCACCTTTTTTGCAATGTGTTTTTTTACTTTTTTAAACGCTTAATTGAATTTATTGATATTTTTCCTGTTTCCAAGTGATTGATTATTGTTTCTTCCGATCCGATCTTATTGGCGATCATCGTTGAGCAGACGCTCGGGGGTTTTAATCACGGTGAATCAACCATGCTTGGTCGGCTTTTGGGAAACCCAAGCAGGAAGCAAATGCTTTAACCACGCTAGATAAATTAAATGAGGTAGATTCTCAAATTTCTTTAATTGAAAAATTACTTATTTGATGTGGATTTCCTATTGCGATGCGCGAATCTGTTATGTGCTCTGAATTCGAAAATTGGCTTTTGGTGAATTTGGGTGGGTTGAATTTAGCAGTCGTAAGTGGTTGGGAGTTGGGACTTTCGGATTTGGATATAAGAACTGAATTATTGGCTGACTGATTAATGGAATAATATCATATGATAAACTTCGGTGATTTGTTAAATTGTTTGTTCAAATTTTTTAAGTTATGTCTCAATTGTCGGGAAATAATGGAATAATGGAAACTTGTATTACATTATTTCTCATCTACATTTTCCTTAATTGGAATCCAATTTCCTATTTTCATCTTCGTCACACAGACCCTTGAAATGCTGGAGAAAAAGGAGAAAGTACTTGTGAAAAAGGCTGCTGCAGAGGTTGAAAAGGCCAAAGAATTCGCCAAAGGAAGAAACAAGAGAGGTATAGTTGCAATATATCTGCTCAGTATTTATTGTTTTCGTAGTTCTCCATGGTTTCCTCTGATGAAAAGAAAAATGCATACAAGTTTCATTGGAACCTTTTGATTTTGTAAATTATCAATGTGTGTAAATATGTTATCAGCAGCAGTATCATGCGATGACTAGATTACTTATGCAGGAGTGTCATGATAATTATTCTTATTTCTTTATTGTACCATGGTTCTTTTCCATTATAGCCCGGTTCTAGTGTTTGCTTTCCTTCTCGAAAGAAAGAACATATTAAAGTGAAATAACACCCCCCCCCCAAACCCAAAAAAAAAAGTCTCAGATGTTTCAAAGCATTGCAAGTTTCATCTTTGGGGGTATGTTTTCCGCTAATGTGAGTTCTTAATGATCTTTGGACATTGACTGATGCTCTACTACAGAGTAATTGTTAACATGGTAAGATATGTTTCTGAATTTGTAATGTGTAATGTGTCATCTCTTAGAGTTTTACATTCAGTGATCTTGTCCTTGTTGAGAAAGGATTAAGTTGTTTAGCTATGTATCATTTAAAATCATATTGGTTAAATTTATAGTGATCTTTTTATTCATTACTGCTATTCTTGTGCAGCTGCTATACAGTGCCTGAAGAGGAAGAGATTATATGAACAACAAATAGAGCAGCTTGGGAACTTCCAGCTTCGTATTCATGATCAAGTGAGCTTGATTTTTTTTCTTCTTTTTCAGTGTTTTAACTATTCCCTTGGAGGGTTTATTATTACTATAACTATACCATTACTTAATTGTATATATCAATTTCCACAGATGATAATGTTAGAAGGTGCTAAAGCCACAACCGAAACCGTAGATGCATTGAGAACTGGAGCTGCTGCAATGAAAGCAATGCAGAAAGCAACGTATGTATTCCGTTAAATTTATCATATCATTACCATATCATTGATGTTTGCTGGCCTGCGGTTTATGCTGTCTAAATTAGCACTTATATTTGGGTCTTTCATGAAGCACGGGCAGTGGCTAATTCTCACAGTTAAACTGAAATTTGCTTTCTTTACAGGAATATAGATGATGTTGACAAAACAATGGATGAGATCAATGAACAAACCGAAAATATGAAGCAGATTCAAGAAGCTCTGTCAACTCCTATTGGAGCTGCTGCTGATTTTGATGAGGTTAGTGTCTTTTGTTTTTCCCGTGCTATTTATCTATGTTTACAAGTACCATGTCTAGCATTCATACTCATCTAACAATGACTTGAAAACTTTTGATGCTGTAGGATGAATTGGAGGCGGAACTCGAAGAACTTGAAGGTGCTGAGTTGGAAGAACAACTTCTGCAGCCTGCAACAACGGCTCCTGCAGCTCCAGTCCAGGTACCTGCTGGTAGGCAACCAGCCCGACCTATTCCTCAAAAGCGCACTGCTGAGGAAGATGAACTTGCAGCATTGCAAGCAGAGATGGCACTTTAAGGTAGTTCATTTTATTTCAGTTTGTTCCGGGGAATTTTACAGGAAGCTTAAAACAAGGCGAATTGATCTGATAGCATATAGTTCACATTTCTTTTATGCTAATGATTTTTTGATTTGGTTTTTGCTCTGTAGGCATCTAGAGAACCAATTTTGTTGATTGGAGTACTGCAGCCACAGGTCATGTTGCAAAACATGAAAGAGAAACCATTGTTGTATTATTGAATCTCCTACTTTAAATTTGTGTGCTTTAAGGTTTGACAGACAATGTACATAAAGTTATTTGCATTATCTGTACGAATCTTAAACTCTCCATTCTATCTTAATATGTGCTTGATACTTGATATGTCTGGAAATGGCCATTCTAACTTCTTCAACCTCAAGAATTCTACCCTTTGTTTCTTTCTTGAATTTGTTTTTGAATCTTGAGAATGTTTTTGGGGGAGGGTTTAACTAGAGACTGAAAGCAGAGAGACTTTCATTTCCAATGGCGTGATAGAATCAACAATGTTGTAAAACCCTACTTGATGGGTGCCACGAGTAGGACCCAAATGACGGCTGCATGTTGCGAGTCCAGGTACTGTTTAGCTGTGTTCCCTGGACTCGTCCAATGAATGATAATTTTATTTTGATTCAAGTCTATAAAAAAGACTAGTCAGATTTAGAATGTTCATATTCGAATCTTATTATGTGTAAATAATTTGTATAAATTTTCAGTCGAGATTTATTTTGATTTTAGTTTTGCTATATATGGATTATGCTTAAAATGATTTTGTTATATAGATGAGTTCAAATGTATTTTGGTTTTCTGTTTCATCTGCGTATTGTACACTCGTATCATTTAGTTGAAATAAAGAAAGTTCTTTTACCTGTTCTGGTTTCTGTTCTTTGTTGATCTTGTGTGTTGGGTTCACAGCTTGACTCTAGGCAAAGTAGCATAGGGTCTTGAAAATGTTGTATGGTCACCCTTTTTCTAGTAGAAATCTATAACTTAAATGTTATAATTTAAGGTGATATAGTCAATAAGTCTGATAATATAAGAGCTAAGAATTTTTTTTAATAATTTAGAGTGATTACAAGGTAGTGTTTGTTCATGAAAAAAAAAGAGTTGTTCATAGTCTTTGATTTGGATAAAAGAATCACTAAGAAAAAAAAGAAGTTGGAGTCGCCGATTGATGATAACTTATCTTTTTCGGTTCAAGTAAAGAATTGTTAAAAAATGAAGGTGACCAGAAGTAGGATTCGAGCTTAACTTCTTATTCTCAGAAAGAAAGGAAAGAGAAAAATATTTGGAAAAAGCATCAAACTCCATACGAGACATGTCATCATCTGCGTGTACGATTCATTAATGATTAAGAATTTTAAGAGAGTGTTGTTTTTTCTAGAAGTTATAGGTTTAAGCAATTGCATATACGGATGTTTGTGCGTTATCAATGACTAAGAAAAATTTTAAATAAATAAAAGAGAAAAATATTTGGAAAAAGCATCAAACTCCATACGAGATAGGCCATCATCTGCGTGTACGATTCATCAATAATTAAAAAATTTAAGAGATTGTTGTATTTTCTAGAAGTTATAGGTTAAGCAATTGCATTGTCAATGACTATTAAAAAAAACCTCAACAGTCCAAAAAATGTTTCACATGAGTAATTGTAGTCCAAAAATTAAACATTGATTATAGTAGAAAATAATACAAACCACATGAGTAATTTATTCACAAATTGTTTCATTAAACTTAAAACAACTTTAAAAGAAAATAAAACCCTTTACCAGCTTCATTTTGGATGACTACGTACATTAGGGTTAATATTATAAAGTACTCGTAGCCATATTTATACGTTGTACAGGAAAATACATCCCACTAGTTTTCACTACATCTGATCAGGGGCAGTGAACAGATAGTGAGGCCCCTCAAAATCATGATGATCCAATACAATTCTTTGATCTTCAGCACTTCCATTGCTAGACCAAGCAGTAGAGTAATCCTCCAGGGAAAAGAAAGATGAACTGAAGAGATTCGAAACATCTTGAGAAGATGACATACTGTAATTGTTACTTGCAGTAGTACTCGTCGTCGCGCTATAATCCATAAGCCCCGGTAGAGGAACCTGATCGATCTGGTCCAAAACCGACCCCGAAATATCATAATTCTGCTGGTATTCCACGTCTGCCATGGGAGAAGACGATATTGTAGTTCCAGTTGCATTCAAGTGAGCAAGAGCTTCAGCTTCAACAGGAACCGAACTGGTGGAGGTGTTGGTTTTTGCCGACGATAATCTTTTCTTCAGGTTGCTGTTCCAATGGTTCTTTACATTATTGTCTGTTCTTCCCGGAAGTTGGGCAGCTATAATAGACCACCTAAATTAACCAAGATGGGTTATTTTCTGGTGTAGACGAAAATTAAACCATGTTGAAATTGACTTGCCTGCTTCCTATGCTGTTATAGAGGGAGCATATGATGTTGTCTTCTTCGTCGGTAAATCTTCCATGCTTGATGTCTGGCCTGAGATAGTTAAGCCACCGCAGGCGACAACTTTTCCCGCAGCGTTTAAGGCCTAAAATGCAGAACCATTTACATCAGATACAGTTTACTTTGAATCGCATTCAGAGTTAATTAGAGTTTAGGGTATACCTGCTTTACGTGGAAGAGCGATCCAGCTGCCGCCGGTGCCATGTTTCTGGAGATAGTTTCTGAGCGTGTCATCTTCATCAGGCGACCATGACCCTCTTTTCACGTTGGCTTTGTCACAGCAGGGAGCTTTTCCCATTGAAAAGAGAATTTGAGAGAGAGAGAGAGGAAACGAAAATGGTTGAGTTAACTCGCTTAGGTTGGTATGGGAGAATACATGGTCTTAAAGGTAAGTGAAGACTATATAAACTTTAGGAAACTTGACTGTGTTCTGACCATTTCTTGTTGAATTTGGGATAATTTTGTGGCTACTTTTTCCTTTTACGGATGATGATTTTGTTTGTTGGAGAAAGCGGAAAGGTACGTGAAGGAGAGAGCACGGAGATTTCATGCATTGGGTGTCAGCTGCAAACCCTCTTACATATGCAGATATCCGTAAGACTCGACGCTTTTGTAACTTTCACGCGGTTTCTGCTTCACCATGGTCCATGTTTCCCGTCTGGCTCTATCTGAAACAAATATATGTACTAATATACTAATATTGTACGATTGTCAATGACTCAAAAATTTCTGCTTTACCATTGTCAATGATCCATTAAGAACATGGTCAAAATGTAACACAAACTCTAGATTGGACCTATATTCATCAGTTGTTGCCCACGAATTGAAATAATAACCATGACTGTTAAGCATGAATTTCTCAACGTAGTAGTCGTTTGAAATAATACATTTAAACAATCTTTCTTAACATCTCGAAACAAAACTTCTCGGAAATTTTCATTCTTGAAGTAATACGAATTAGAGTGGAACTCGAAATATATTGAATTATCTTTGACAAACAGAGAAATAAACCTGAGATTTCTTGTGATGTTAGACACATGTAATAAATGATCCAAAAATAACACTCCTCTCTATGAGGAGTGTTTTGACTGAATGTTGGATGCGTTATATATTTTTTTTTTTTGAATTAATCATTGGTATCCGATCTATTGACCGATTAATCCAGTTCGGGTAATGCAAAAGCGATAGCGACCCTCCCAACCCAGTTTGCTCCATTCGTAAACTCCAGGAGTCGAACCCCTGATCTTACTTAAGGGAAGTGAGTTCGGTTGAGGGGTTTGAGTGTTACTATTTGTATCATTTGAAGGTAATTGAGTGTATTTAAGAGGGATGCAAATTTGTTGAATACGGTAATGTTTATATCAGTGGCAGATTGCAAACATTTTGGAAATTTTAGTGCTTGTGTTGCGTTGTTTGCAAATATGGGATAAATGGGTTGGGTCAAGTCCGGTATAAACCAAGCTTGAATATTAGGCCTCAAGTGCAAGTCCAAATGTGGCTTCAGGAATACCAAAGAACTGACACGTGGCACCACGCGGGAGCTGTCAGTGTCAAATTGTTACACTTTCCCTCGCTAATCACCATCGTCCTTTCCTCTTCCATTTATACGAACAGTGATTCTCTCCTCTACATTAAATTCCATAAATAACCTCACGACTTTTGCATCTTTTCAGTCCTACCCTCCGTTCCACTTCAATATCAACACTCCCTCTACTGATAACTGATCATTCATTCATTAGTCATTACTGCACCATTTTCACGGTTCAACTCGTTTCTAATAAACCCAATTTGAGTTGTAATATGGGGTTTCCTCTCTCTGTAATGAATCTGCCATCGTTTGAATGGCTCTGTTCTGTTACTATTTCTCCCTTTTCCTCTTTGTTTTTACCATAAACCCTTGCTTCGCCGCTGATGAAATCGATGAATTCTCGATCATCGACTTGGACGTCCTCTCCACTCACGGCGATTACTCTCCGCCGTCTCCGCCGCCGTCTCCCCCGCCACCCCTTCCGCCGTCTCTCTCGTGTGGAGATTTAAACGGAGTTGGCTCACTGGACACTCTATGTGAGCTTCATTCCAGCGTGGGTTTTCGTCGCGACGTGTATATAGCAGGGAACGGAAGCTTCCGTGTATTTCCCGAAGTCATTTTGAGTTGTCCTTTAAAGGGTTGCTCAATTACCATCGATATGAGCCATGAGGAATTCAGTTTGGCCGGGATTCCCGCCTATTTCCGGGAACATTGTTTATTACGGCTAGGAATGCGTGTTTCTCTAAGGGTTCAGTTGTAAATGTAAGTGGCCTAGCCGGTCAACCCCTGGCTCAGGCCAGTGGAACCCTTTCGGGGATTTAAGGTGCCGGCGGGGGCCACAGTGGTAGAGGCGCTAGTTGCGTGATGGATAACATGACACTGCCGGACGATGTTTGGGGACGTGATGCTTACTCTTGGTCATCATTCGATAAACCGTGGAGTTATGGGAGTAAAGGAGGGACGACTAGCAAAGACGAGGATTATGGCGGGGAAGGTGGTGGGAGGATAAGGTTGGAGATGGAGGAGGCAATTGAAGTTGGCGGGAGTATGTTGGCAAATGGAGGTGATGGCGGTGTAAAAGGTGGTGGAGGCTCGGGTGGAAGCATTTATATCAAGGCTCACAGAATGTAATTTAATTTGTTTCCCCCTCTATCAGTTATATTTGTTCTTTGTAGTTTGTGAGTGATTTATGATGCTTTTAGTTCAGTCAACGTTGGTTCATTTATTGCAAGATGACATTGTATTTATTTTCATCGCCAAGGATGTTGTGGTTATAAATTGGAAGGCCAAGATTCATCACCTGGGGCTATCAGTGAGGAGGAAAGTAAAAAGAACGAGGAAAAGTCAAAGTGAATTTGAAGTTTAAAGAAAGAAGATGCATAAACTTATGGAGGCATTTTTAGAACAGAGAGATTGAGTGAATCTATAAGATATTTAGGACTTTATGAATTTGGGTACAAGGTACTTTAATGATTTAAGTTAGGTTATTTCTCGGCCAAGGAAATGTTTATAAATAATACCACAGTTTTTTTTTTTTTATCTTTTTAAATATAGCTTTGTCATGTTTTGTGTTTGTCAATGGAAGGTTGAATTGGTTTCTGGTAATATACATTTCCATTTGTTAAATTGACTGCAAAGATTTCTATACTAATAAAATTATTTTATTACAGCCTTACGAACCTGGTCGGTTTTGTGACCTGATACCATGATTATTGTCATTAGCACATACGAGACCTTCCATGTTTGCCGTGTTTGATGGTAGGAAACTGCATGTTTCAGTTGCAGGCCTAATAATATTCGCAGACTGCTTTAGTTACTTATTAGTTAAAGGTGGAAACAAAAACAATGAAGGGGTTGGAGTTCGTGTCTCTGACGGTCTATGTTCCGAAGTCGGTGTGCTTATGCTCAAGAAAGGAGGATACTTATAAAGTGGATGCTGCGGTGGCGACAGCATTGTGCGTCAGAGTTGTCAACCCGATGTCTAGTGGGATTGGAGGTGGAGCTTTCATGGTTGTTAATTAGGTCTTCATTGACTTCACAAGTCGAAGCCTTTGATTCGAGAGAAACCGCGCCCTTTGGCGCTTCACAGGTTAAGAATTCTTCAGCTACATTACTTCTGAGACAAGTTATCTATTATTGGTTGAATCTTTGGTTGCAAATAATTATTGCTTCACACATGCTTAAATATGTATATGTCCGGTAGATTCTAACGCTGAACCCTGAAATCAAACTAGGTAATGTCCTTTATCCGGCCGAGTTGCAGGAAGCATTTGTCTAGAGGTTCATGTTGTATCAATTTGCCCTTGCCTGTGTGCTTTTTGTTGAGCCAAAATTCAGGGTGGGCGCAGGGTGAACAATTTTGAAGCGGAATCCCCGCGATCCGCTGCCAAACTTTTTCCGATTCAACAAGCATTGTCAATAGTATCCTTTGAAGAGGACTCAAGCCACGAAAACCATAATGATCCTAGTTTTTGTCTTGTTTGTGCCTGCTAACACTGTAGTAATTGTTAAACTGCAGAATATGTACGCGAATGATATGAGGGCCAAGTACCATGGTGCATTGTCAATGGGAGTTCCCACCTTCTTGAAGCTTGGTCAAGATATGATCGACTAGATTGGAAGACACTATTTGAGCCTGCAATAAAACTAGCTAAAGACGGATTTGTCGTTGGACCATATCTCGGATTAAACATTGCTTCGTATGCGCAGAGGATAACAAATGATCCTGGCTTAAGGCAGGTGTTTGCACCGGAGGGGAAGTTGTTACGAGCAGGTGAAAAGTGCTACAATGTAGAGCTAGCCCACAGCCTTGAGGAACTGGCAGAACATGGACCGGGGGCCTTGTATAATGGAACCGTTGGAGAAAAATTGGTCGAAGATGTGAGACAGGGTGGTGGGATTTTGACAATGGAGGATTTAAGGAATTACAAGGTTGAAACTACAGATGCAATTTCTGCAAATGTGATGAATTACACTATATGGAACGCCACCACCTTCGAGCGGAACGCTTGGGCTGGCTCTGCTGTGTAACATACGATATATTCATATCTAATGCTTTAGATCATAGTAGCATTGCGACTTTAAGGCTTCTAAACATGTTGACATGAAACAGGTTATGAATATCTTGGACAGCTACGGAAGTGCCAATGCTGCAACACCGCCTGATTTAAGCTTCGAAACACATGTTTGCCAAAAGAATGAACTTGGGCGACCCTGATTTCGTTAACATAACCGAATATTTATCCAAAATGCTTTCTGTTTCTTATGCAAAGCAAATCCAGGAGAAGATATTCGACAACACGACTTTCTCTGCAAGCTATTATATGTACAGGTATGTATGGTATACAAGCAAACCCTTTAGATTCTTGTCGATGAAGTTTCTGAGCTTTGTAATCCTTTTTGTTGCCAGATGGAGTCAATTTAGAAACCACGGAACTAGCCATTTCTGCGTTGTGGATGCAGATCGCAATGCCGTGTCGATGACCACCACCGTAAATTTCCCTTTCGGATCTAGAGTGCTATCACCTTCCACCGGGATTCTCATTAACAACGGGATGGGTGATTTCTCAGCACCAACAGAGATATCCCCAGACATGCTCCCTCCTGCTCTGGCAAATTTTATCAGACCAAACAAGAGACCTCTATCTTCCATGGCACCACTTATTATTACCAAGGTTTACCAGCTGGTAGGAGTCATTGCTGGCAGTGGTGGAATGAAAATAATACCAACAGTAGCCCAGGCATTTCTAAATCATTTCGTCTCGGGGATGGAACCCATAGCTGCAGTTCAGCATCCAAGGATCTACCACAAGGTACGATTCAATCGAATA